TAATTATTTTTGGTCTTCCTTTGCTCATCACTAATAGTAAACAATTCAATAATATCCAAAACGAGGTTTTGAAGTTATGCGCGTTATCCGCTCTAACTAATATTTTCCTACGCGACCAGTTTATTCCTTACACGAGAACCCAGCAGAACAACGCTCTCTCACTTTTCTTAGGGAGCGAACGAACACACATTTCAAGAATACGGTATTGGTAAAGTCAGGAGAACCACGCCTCTTTTTCCTATGCGAACATCAATCGCCGATATCAAGAATACGGACACTGGATCCATTTGCTTCCGATTCTGTTCAGGTCATCGGTCCAACGTGTAGGTGGTCTTTCTCTGTGTCGTCTATAAGGCGGGGCCTCCATTCCATTCTTTGTCTACTTGTCCTCGCTCATTCTGGCCATTGGAGCCGCACTTCCAAAAGTTAACTTTTGTTACAGATCGACACGTAACAAAAATTGATACGCAACGGTTTTACCATACCAAATGGGGTAGGTAATTCTATGTGTATTTGCACCACTTCAGGAAGAACTCTCGAATTTAGTTAATTAAAAAATCACTTAAGATCCTGTAAATTTTGTATTACTGGATCTTTAGGTAAAGAGATAAACAAATAAATAAAAGTAATTCGTAACTTTAAAAGGTTTATTAAATATAGTTAAATAAATAATTATTTACAAAGGATTTTTACTTCTGTTATACAGTAGTCATAAAAGTAAAACTAATATCTACATCATCGGAATACTCAGAATCAAACATTTACAAATCGCTATATACAAATCACGCTTAGACCATATTATTTGATTAATTGAATATTTAGCAACAACCAATGTGAAAAAAAAATTGATTTGATTGTTATTAAATGAAATGAAGAGCTAGAAAAAATTTAATGGCACCTTATTCGCTTTACAATCTCAACAATATCTGCTTCTCTGCAAATTTTGGAACCTATATGTTATTCGCAATATGCATAAGACTTACTAAGTAGCTATGTAGAGATTTGTCTCCTTTGTATCACAGTTTGGTATTCGAAGCCAAAATTGTATTTTATTTTGTCTTGGATGAAGGTTCACTGGGAAAAAGTAGCAAACGAATTTATTCTTATTCTACAGAAATATAAATAGGGTATGAGATGCTACGCTGATTTTAAAACAATATTTACAAATAATCTAAATTAAAAATAAATTAAATAAATTAAAAATTTATCACTGATTCACTAAGAAAGTGTATACAGGGTGTCCCACGGGGGACAGCCACGAGCGATTGAAAATTGGACAGTGTGCCGAAGTCATTGGGGGCAAGGGATCTAAAATATTCTCAAGATGGCCACACTTCCGGTTATACCGGAAAAAGGTAGCAACTGGCTTATTTTTAATAGACCACCTTATATATTATTAGATTTTTAAATTCTACTCCAAATTCGCAATATATTTAATGTACAATATCATATACCAAAGTCTAACCGTTTGTGGTAAAGTTGAAATTTTATGTAAAAAATGACAGATGCAGGCACTGGAATAATTAGTCATTTGTCCAAGCCCTTCTTCTTCTTCCTTGTTGTGTATTGCATCCTGTTTGTCTTCAACTATTACAACCGTAYTTGAAACGCCCAGCGCCAGCTGTCGTTTTGGGGGTCTTCCAGGAGGTCTTTTCGATATCGGGCGGCTCTCTTTGGCGATTTTTGCTCATTCGTTCTATGTAGTCTATCCAAAACCGGCGTCGTTCTCTTTAGGAGTTTCTAAATTTSTTGGTTTTTCTTTTTCTGTTGCTTTTTCTTGCTRKTWTTGCGTTGGTGAGTGCTGGAAATCATATCCTGTTTAACACCATTGTCTCTTATTTTCTGTTGAAATTGTCGTCGTGTTTGTAGATTTCAATAGCTTCTCGTATTAGTCGGGGGCGATTGCCTCTTGTTTGTTCTGAGCTCTTTCCGTATATGGTGAGTTTGCATCTGCGCGGCTCCTTAACTGTGGTTAGGCACTGTGTTATGCTCGTCGATATCTTCATGTTGAATTTTGGCGCAGTTTGTTCGAACTTAWAAAGAAGCAATTGCAAATCGTCTTCACTTTCGGATATTAATACGGCGTCGTCAGCATAGCATATTACTCTGATTTCTTTTTCCCYTATCCGATATCCTTGCCCCACCTTTTTGACCTCTGTGMTCATTTCCTCCATGATTATATTGGAGAGAGTGGGGCTTATACTGTCTCCGTGTCTTATGACTGAKTTTTAKTCGTAGCTCATTAAAGGTTATAGTGCGATTAATTGTTCTCCGCTTTCATTCTTTCCTCCTTCGTTGCATCAGTTTTTTACTCYTGGCATTCATTCGTTTCSRATCCTGGAGTTCAGATCTCCGAGAATTATTATTTTGTCTTGTGGTCCAATGCCGTTGAGCACTGCTYGTGGAYCTTTGTAGATGATATTTATTTTTTCTCTTGGTTTGGAGGCGTCGGGGGCATAAGCACTTATTATATGCGTGGGCTTTCCGTCTTTGAGTTCAACTGTTATTTGTAGTATCCTGCCGTTGACGTATTTTATGTCGCTGATGTTATTTTCGAATTTCTCGTGTAGCAATATCCCTACACCAGACGTTGGTCTGTCGTGCTCGCCTTTGCCGCTACTCCAGAATCCAGAAAGTATTTTCCGCACTTGGAGTTTTCTTGTCCCTTCTTCTTGGTTTCTGTGATTATGCAATCGTCGATCTTGTGTTTTCCCATTTCCAGCAAAATCTTCTGATCTTTGTTGTTCAGGGACGTTACGTTCCAGCATCCGATTCTTATTGTTTTTGGTTTCCAACGCCGTTTATTCCTTTTTCTCGCCGAGTCGTCATTAATTTTTCCTGTCCTATCCGAGGCTAAATTGTTGCTTCTTTGAGCACTGTGTTCCTTTTGACCCCAGGCAGGTCTCTAGCTGGCTGGGGGCTCTAACCGGCTGTGTTTCTTTCCACCGGGCTACTCAATCCACCCAGTTTCCTCACAGGCAGAGTTTCATTTGTCCTATAAGAAAATATGTGCTACTTAATTTGAATCGCATTTCTTAGTAATAACGCCTTACTTTAATGGAATTTCGACAATATTTTGATAACTACTAATTCAGTGATAAAAAAATAAGTTGCAAATTAAAGTTGAGAACACCGCCCAAAATGATTTTTTTTTTAATGGAAACTCACATTTTTTATGTTTTATAACTTGCTTGTCAATATTAAAAATTAGAGCAAGTTTGTCTATTCCAAAAATGTTTAGTTTTCAAATATTGCCATTTTCATAGGGCAATCTTGTTACGTTTTGAAAATAATTAATGTGATAGTTATATCAGCTGTACGTATTTCCTTGGCATTTGATTGTATTAAAAATTACCACTTTTGTCATGGCAGCTAAGACTGACAGTAATTAAAACAAGGTGCGACAAAATATCCAAATGGGTACATTAAATTGTCAATATTTAGATAACACTCTTGGAATAGACAACCTTACACCAACTTACCCTTATTTTTGATTTTGTATCAGATAAAATTATCAAAAATGGAGGTTTTAATTTAAAAAAAAATGTTTTGGGCGGTTTTTTAGCGTCATTTTCAAACTTAATTTTTTAACACTTTGCATTTATAGTTATCAACATTTTGTCGACTAGAAATGAGACGCAAATTAAGTAGGTGGCACATATTCCCTTAAAGCACAAATGAACAATTATTCGATTGGCTGCAACTTATTTCATAAACAGTTAGACTTAGGTATAGTACATATCCACAAAATAGTGATATTATCCACAAAATATATTTCAAATTTGGAGCAGAATTCAAAAATGTACTAAGATATGCGGTCTTCCATTTAAAATAAGCAGGTGATACCTTCTTCCGGTATAACCGGAAGTGTGGCCATCTTGAAAATATTTTATGTCGCTTGCCCCAATAACGTCGGCATACTGTGCAATTTTTAAATTTGTACCAATTATAGTTTGCCAGATATCGATCGTGGCATTTCCCGGTGGGACACCCTGCATATGTGGAATAATGCTCTAATTATTAAAATATCGTGGCGTGCATGCAAAGTAAATAAATTAATAAATAAATAATACTGTATTAAATTGTTTT